TTATTGTATGTGTAATATACATTTGTATATGTGCATTCAATGTTATTAACAATTGGGATACAAATAAGAATTTTTACATCTAAACGTATTTTTTATAAAATACATTAATTTAAATATTTTAAATTTTGAGTATCGAAACAATACTTATTTAATAAAAGTGTTTTTCTTATAAACACTTTCATAAACATTTATTAAAAAAGTACTATTTCTCAAAGCTGACAAAACTATCCCCAAATATCATAACCGACTCTATAGCTATCTTTCTCTAACCCCAACGCCTAATCACCATCCTATACACAACTCATCTGGTTCTTTCAGTGGCAGCCATAAAAACCAATAAAATAAATCATCCCTCACCAAACTCAAAACTCCATGACTTTATAATACGTATCAATCTCATTCCTGCTCCACACTGAATCAATGGATCTGGATTATTTTGATTTCATTTGAAGTGGAATGTATTTGGACCTAGATCGATCGCCACAGTAATATAAAGTGTAGGTTATTGCAATGGATGGAAACGAAATGGAAAGGGACCAGGTAGCATCATTAAAAGCTGGGTAGTAAAAGATGTGATGAAACAACTTTCTTTTTTCCAGAGAGATATTACTTTTCAGTGGATTATACCTATAATTAACAATCAATTCAATTTAATCATATAGAGAAATATTGTAGATTTTTTAGTGGTTCATTTTGGAGGAATGATTTCTTTTAATTTGTTTGTTTGATAGTGTTTTTCATAACTCGAAATCAATCACAATTATCCGTTTTGTTGGACGGTGGCTCCAAAATTGCAAAAGAAACAAAATAAAGAAAAGGAGAGGTTGGAAGTCTTCAACATGATTACTTAGCCTTGTACAATTTCTATTGGTTTTGACAATTTTTACGAAACTGCTATGGAGACTCATGCCTATAAATAAGCATTGAACTCTTTAGGTTTTTGCATCTGAATTTAGTGAGTATAATGAGAGTTCAAAAAATAAAACTCTCCTCTTCTTTATGTATTGAGTGGATGAGTTGGGTGAGGTGTACAAGGGTTAAAAAGCTCGGGTTTGAGATATAAAATTCCAATGGTGATGTTTATACTATTGTACTCAATTTTTCTCAATAATGAAGAAAACAATTGGATCATGCCTCGTGGATATAGGCAAGAATTTTGTCATAGTATTGTCTTTCTTTGTGTGCTTTAGTTTATTTTATTTATTTTCTCATCAACATATTAATCCAATTGCTATCCCTGAGGAGATTTGGAAAGATAAACTAGTCAATTATTCTAATCTAGAATATTTGGTTGTTCGACCTATGTTCTCGCGTGTAAGAGCAGCAAATATCCAAGTTGTACTCAAAGTCCAAGTAGTGTATATTTGTCGATTATGAAAAAGGCAAGAAATGGTATAACCTTTGAGATTCGACTGTATGAAAGGTAATCAGTAGGGATGTCATCTTCAATGAAGAACATATGTTGAATTTAAACAAAAAGAAAACCAATAAAGAAGTAGAGGCTCATTAGAAAAAAATCTTAGACCATGTAGAGCCAAATGAAACACAAGGGCCCAGTGAGAGGATCATGCACCAACCTCTTTTCAAGAAGATACATCTAGTAGCGATGTTAGACAAAAAGAACCCACAACTCTTACTGCTAGAAGGGAGAAAAGAACTCATAAGACACCAATCACGTATGATTTTGAATACATAGTTTCTTTTACATTAACTATTGATAATTGAGATCTGCCTTGTTTTCAAGATGTAGTCAAAAGCCAAGAAAATGAAAAATAGATACTAATAATGATAGATGAGATAAAATTTCTATACAAGAACAACACTTCGAGGTTAGTTGAAAAATCCAAAGGTCAAAAGGTGATTGGTTGCGAATGGATATATCAGAAAAAAGAACCTGCATTGAAATGTAAGGAAAAAAAAAATTAAGGCACAACTTGTTGCCAATGTCTATAGGCAAGAGGAAAGAATTGACTATAATGAATTTTTTTCTCTTGTTGTTGAGCATTGTTCAATTCGTATAGTGTTAGGTATGGTAACAATATTTGACCTTGAGTCACAATAGTTAGATGTCAAGACAACATTCCTTCATGGGGAATTAGTGGAGAAAATGTGTATGAAACAACCAGAAAGATTCAAGGAGCAATGTAAAGAGTATTTGCTATGCAAGCTTAAAATATCTCTTTACAAGCTAATACAGTTTCTTAATAATGGTGTAGGAGGTTGATTTCTTTTATGGTGCATATTGGCTATACGAGGAGCATCTATGATTCTAAAATACTTGGTGATAGTTCTTTTTGTTATTCTGATGATGTATGGTGACGAGAGGTTAATTGTTTCAAATAAAATGCATGAGCTAAACTCGTTAAAATCTAGATTATGAAATAAAATTGATATGAAAGATCTAGACATTGCTAAAAAGATCTTTGTAATGAAAATTCTGAGGGACAAAGAAAAACACAAACTATGGGTATCACAAAAAAAAAGTATGTAAAAGGTACTAGATAGGTTTAGCATGAGTAATTCTAAGTTTGTTAATACTTCTCTAGCTAACCACTTTAAACTATATGCTAAATCCTGTCCTACTTCAGATGATGAAGTGAGAAAATGTCTTATTTTTCATACAATAATACAGTGGGGAATCTAATATATGTCATGGTTTGCAATAAGCTAGACATCTCTTAAACAGTCAGTAGCACCAGTAAATACACGAATAATTTGAGTAAGGAGCATTAGAATGTAGTTAACTAGATATTTATGTATTTGAGAGGTACAATGAATTTCAGTATCTTGAATCAGAAACATGATGAAACAACACATGTTGTAGAATATATAGATGCAGACTATGTAGGTGATCTGCACAAACAGGATGTATACTACATGTTATATATTTACAATAGCAGGTAGACCTATCAGTTAGAAAGTTATGCTTCAACCAACTCTCACTTTATCCACAACTGAAGTGGAATATATGGGAACGGTGAAAGCTGCCAAATAGACTTTGTGGTTGACAAGTTTGGTCAATGAATTGAGATTGACACACAAAAGCTTAGAGTTGGATTGTGATGATAACCAAAGTGCTATTCATTTGGCAAAAAATAAAGTTTATCATCACATGACAAAACACATTGATATAAGGTTTCATGCTCTTAGAGAGTAGGTGGAAGTCATAAAATAATGTAGTTGATATGATGATGACGCTGGTCACTATACAGAAGTTCAAGCAATGCTTGAACCTGATAAATTTCTCGTACTGTTAGATTGACGAAACATCTTAGGACATGAGGATGGGCATCTGACTCAAGATGCGGACTTAATGTTTCAGGTAGAAGTTATTAAATTTTTGTCAAGGTGGAGATTTGTTTGATGATGGCTCCAATTAAGCAAATGATGTGGAACCGAAAATGTAATAGGAATAAAAATGAAAAAATCGTAAGGTTGGAAAGTCTTCAACCTGATCACTTAGCCTTGTACCATTTTCTTGGTTTTGACAATTATTACGAAGTTATCATGGAGTATCATGCTTATGAATAGGCATTGCACTTTTTAGAGTATCTTAATTCAGTGAGTGTAACAAGAGTTCAAAAAATAAGGTCATATTTAGTTTGCATCTCAAAAAATAGTATTTAAAAATTATTTTTGAAAAGCATTTTTCAAAAACTATTTTTAGTATTTTTTATGTCGCATAATTTATTTAGTTATACAATTCTAAAAACGATTATACGAATATAAAACATTAAAATTATTTGGACAACAACCCAAAAAATAATGAAAACTGAAATATGGTTGTGGTGGTGGTATGGTGGACGTTGTGGTGGTGACAATGGTAGAAGAATGGTAGTGGTGGTAAAAGTGTGGTGGTGGGAGAGCAATGGTGGTGGTGGTGGTGTGGTGTAGGTGTGGTGTGGTAGTGGTGAGAATGTGGTGGTGATGGAAGTGTGCTGCTGCTGGTGGTGATGGACGTGTGGTGGTGGTGGAAAGGTTGAGGTGGGTGTGATGATGATGGTGGTGGTGATGAAAGTATAGTGGTAGTGGTGGTATTTTCTAAATTTTAGAAAAGTTCTTTCAAAAAATACAAAAAAAATTGTTGTAACTTATTCTCTAAATGTATCCAGTTTTTTATTCTTCGTTTTAAAAAATAAAAACAAAAAACAACTGGTTAAACAACTTTTCTTCTAGAAACTGTTTCAAAAAACACAAAATAATTTCTGAGCTGCAAACCAAAAAAGGCGTAATACTCCCTTTTTTCTTTATGTACTAAGTGGGTGAGTTGAGTGAGGTGTACAAGGGTATAAAAAGCGCTGGTTAATTAGGGTATAAAATTTGATGAGTGAGCTTGTACCATTATTCTCAATTGTAAAGAATGCAATTGAATCACCTCTTGTAAATTTAAGCAAAATTTTTGTCGAACCACGTAAATATCGATATTTTCTTTCTTTGTGTGCTTTATTTTATTTTATCTATTTTCTTGCCATCATGTTTATCCAATTGCTGCTAGTATATCCCATCACATTTCGATGGCCAAACAAAATGGACATAAGAAACAAGTAGCATCAAGGATTTTGCACACATTCAGCGCCCACAAATATATAAAACCATCTCTATTGCTGTCGTACGTTGAATTATTATATTATATTTGAGATTAGAACATACCAGATAGACCCATTATTCTCCGGCAATAAATACATGTACACAGTAAACTTTAACTTATAATTGTACTTTTAATAGAAGAGGAAACACATGTCCTCACTTGAGGATAGAAACCTTATTACGATGAAGCTGATATACTCACGGTCAAAGTCTTAATACAATACACCCCCAACGGGAAGCTTCGATGAATAAGTATAGGGAGTTAGAGTGAACACCCACTTATTTATAATAATGCAGACTTAAATACGTACGGTAGCTAAGGCAAAGAGTATAAGTTGTAATTAATAGGTTATTCATCCCATGCACCACCTGTACTAGTACGATGTATGCGATGATGGGGGTAACAATTAAGCCTAATCAGCATACTGGGAATGTTGGTCGCTTTTGTAGGTTTCCTTGTCTTTCCTCTTGCCGTCGACCTTCTTTTCTTGCTTGCGGTGGGCTTGATGTTCCATGTATTCGGAGACGTCCACATGAACACCAGGATCGTTGCTGGAGTAGCCACCACCCATTATGATTGAATTGTTGATGGCTTGGAAATTGCTATTCACGTAGGTACTCAGTGATTCTTCATGCTCCTGATCATCTCCCCCTCCTCCAAGTGACACACCTAATTGAGGGCTGCTGTTGCTGGCTTTGATATCCTCCAACTCGCTTCGAATTGTGGCTCCATAATTGCTTCCAGCGAGCGTGATGATTCTCACACCATGATCATCCTCATCATCCTGATCATGGTGGTGGCTTGTTGTACCTCCGGCTCCAGGTTTGTTAACATATTGAAGATCGGCAAAGCGACGAGTGAGTGCAGAGATCATCTCTCTGATCTCGCTATGTTTTTGCTTCTGATCATCTTCATCGGGCAACAATGCAGCAGGATCTGGTTTAGTTGTTTCAGTAATCATGGTGGGTTGGTTGGACTGATATTTAAGATGCGGTGAATGAGAGGGAGAGACAAATTAGTTTGAGATTGGTATGTGAATGGTGCAGTGGAATGGATTAAGGTAGGTTGGAGGTTGGCTTGGATTTAAATAGGGGCTTCACATTCACATACTAACGGAATTTTTTACATGGCAAGACAAGAACTTTTCTTTCACTTATTCCATCCATCTCATTGCTCAAAAAAAAGGAAGGGATTGCTTGAAGACGGGTTCATCTCTTTTTCTTTTTCTTTTCCATCATCTCATGATTATCCTTTTGCCGTGGAGAATAAGTTATGGATCACCCGTCCACCACCAGGTTCAGAGGCATCCAATAATCAACTAACAACTCAGCTGAAAGGGGGCCACAACAAAGTTTTTGTCTGTCTCATCTTCGTAATAATATCCCTTTCTTTTGTCTTTCACACCACGCTCATCCGAACACCCACCGCCATACAAACCCATTGCCCTGCCCTCATCAACCACCACCTCTTCTCTCTCTCTTCTCCTGCACAGACACACAATCACAACCACAGACATACATTCAACACTATATCACCATCTTCGACCACCCTCCCTTACCATTACCAGTAAACATTTGATTTATAAAAACAAAGTTGCTCGATCCACACATTTGTTCCACAAGAGATTCTCCTGACCTTTTTTTTAACATAAATTTTTTACATCTTATAACATATATCACTAACGGATTTGAGCACTTGGGAGCTTGTTTGAAGTTTTTTTTTTTTGGGATTAAATTGCATTTATGAAGTCTTTTCCAAACTCAGCTCCAATAATTTGTACGTGAAATTCAAACAAAAATTAATTATATCCAATCTTATATTTTGTAGGTACCATAAATATACGTGGGATTCATAAATTCATGTCAAACCATATTAACTAAAATATCCATTGTTAGGTGAATAGAAAAATAAATTTTTGGGTAAAATAAGTTTTTTATATACAAATCTAATCTCTCAGCTTTTGAAAACCATTACCCCTCGTGGGTTTTATCAAACCTCCATACATGAATTTTAATTCATCATTCATTGTGGCTTAGGAGTGAACCGAGATCCATTTACTCTATAAATTTTGAATCTCTAATCTTAATACACATACGAAACATGTCCTTGAACCATTCCTTGTACCAAATTTGTGGGTGGACCTAACATATGGGTCTAATGGGCTTACATTGAATTCGGCCCACAAAATCCTTGGGCCTTGCTTACTACTTCTCCGTAATGGAAGGCTTTGCTCTGAAACAACTATACTTATGAGCAGGGCCGTCAATGGAACAACTTCGTATGTGATAATTGGGGAGAGTCCTATTTATGAGATTTATAGGGCTTAAAAGTTTGAGTTTTAAACATATGTGTTATTAAGTTTTATTGGTTACGTTTATATATTTGTATATAGATAGATATGAGAGAGAAAAGACAAAGAGTTTTAACATGAGAAAAATTCTAAAATGTAGGAGTTTTTAGTTTTCAAATAAGTTTTAATTAGATGTAAATGCTTGGGTTATTTTGAATAATAGAGATCAAAATAGTCTTAAAGCTAAACAAAATTTCTGAGTAGACTTTTTGGCCAGATAAATAAGTCTAAAAAATTGGACCGATTCTCAAATTTTTCAATTTTTGTCTTAGTATGATTTGAACCGAGATCTAATTAGTCATTTATGAATTGAATCTCAAACTACTGAATTATGTCTTAAAAATTTAAATTTGAATACATTAATGTTGGATCTGATTGTAATCCAATTCTAATCTTATGTATATGTGCATAGTTATTAAATCGTGTATCGGAAGGCGTATCGTATTTTAAAAAATAGAGTATCGTATTTAAATAAATAATAAAAAAATATATATACTTTTGAAAAAAAATCATACATTCATAAAACATAATATTTCATTAATACTCTACCAACTATTCAAGTCATCAACATAATCCACTACTATTATAATGCAAAGTTCACAACCATAGTTCACTAATTCAAACTTCAAACACCAAAT